CTACGCCGCCGTTTTAGGCGACTCATGGCAGCCCAGCTCCAGGTTGAGCTGTTGTTCAGCATCTTAGCTGTAGAGGACAGTGTCACTGGCCCTCATATGTGGGATCCGAACCGGGGTCCCCTGGCGTCCCAAGCCAGTTCTTAACCATCGTGCCACTCGGCCGGCCCCATTTTTTTTTTTAATGGAAGAGAAAATAGAGTGCTTTGCATGTAGTAGGGGGTATTGTTCTTTGAATTTTTTTTTTCAGTTATATGGATTTTGTGTGTACCAGATCATGATTTAAAATACATTGCTTCTTGTGGAATACAGATAAAAATGTTTGAGAAATACTGTCGTGAAGTTGGTTTTATTGCTTTTAGAAGACAATATTGTTCGAACTTGGATAATGAATCTCTCTCAGATGCCTAGTCTAGATCCTACTTTGCTAATTTGGTTCAACAAACACTCTTTGAAGATCTTCTATGAGCAAGGCACTGGCTAAGAGGAAGACGGAAGCTCTGATTACTGATAACTGGGAACTAAGGTTAAAATTGGCAACTGGACACCAAGGTATCAGCCTGTTGGTTGATGTCAGTCTCAACCCAAATATTGTGTGTCAGGATTCTTTTGCTTATAATCAATAGAAAACACAATTGAAACCCTTGCTGAAAGGAAGTTTATTGGTTCATAGAACTAAATAGCTGGGAGATTAAATGGGACTCACTGATGTTAGTCTGGAACCAGGGGCTCAGAGATCTCATCAGGATCAGATTTCTTTGTCTTCATTTGCTTACTTGATGTCTGCTTTACCTTAAAGTTGATTCCCCTTGAAGGTCCAGGTAAATGCTTCCTTGTTAATTTTGAGGATACTTTTCCTAGCATTACCAATAAAAATCTAGATATTCAGTCTGATTATATTGCCTCAGATCAAGTGCTTGTACCTGAACCTATCACTGTTGTCGGAGAGTAACAATAACCTGATTGGCTCAGCCTGATTCATGTCCTACATCTAGAAAAGGGAGTAAGGATGAGGCTAAGTCAGCTTTCCCAAAGACATGGATCTCTCATGATTTTGCTCTATTTGTGCTTAACCATTTTGGTGTAGGAATGAAGAAAGTGAACTCATAGCATTGATTTTGGGTTAGATTAAATATAAGGAAAGAAGAAGGATTCCAATCAAAGGTGCTGCTTCAGATGATACACCCTGGAGTCCCTGTTGGGCATGGAA